TTCGCGCTTCCGATTAACTGCCGAGAGTTTCGCATTCCGCGGGTAGACTGCTTCTTCTTCTTCTTCTTTTTCTTCTTCTTCTTCTTCTGCTTCTTCTTCTTCTTCTTCTTCTTCTTCTTCTTCTTCTTCTTCTTCGTACGTGGCGACGACGATGACGAGGACGAGGATGAGGAGGAGGAGCAGCAGGCGGTTCTCAAACCTGCTCTTTCGCTGCTCCGATTTTAATGCCGACGTAATCGACCGACAACTTGGCGGAAGACAATATTTATAGGCGAGCCAAGCGGCCAAGCGACGCACGTCTCTCCTTTTCGCGAGTCGAACTCTTAATTTTCCGCGGGATCGCACGCGGGGCGCGCATACGTTTAAGGGGGGAATTACAGGCGGAGCAGGCCGTTTTTCAAGGCTATTTTTACGAATTCTTTTTAACAGAAACGGTAGGATCAATGGACTTGAAATTTTCACAATGTATTCATTAATGTTCAAAGTATCAAATAAATTTGTTATTATCTATGTGGAAAGTATGTGAAACTTTAAACGCGTTTATCTGGAAACACCATTTTCTTCAACTGTTGACACGATTGCGCGAAAAACTACTGAACCGAGTAACTTGAAATTTTTACACAATACACAGCAGACATGTACTTTTGTCCCCTATCACCTCGAGCACAGTTATATTTTATTTTATTCATTTTTTTTTAAGCGTGATTACAAGTTGAAGAAAGTTTCGATATTTTTTTTTGTACATTATTTTTTGTACATGATTATTAATCATTATTTTTCCAAACTTGTCTTCACTGCTTCCACTTTGGTACGGGCTATAATGGCAACCGAATATTTAAAAAATCTTTCTCAGTTTTTGGTTTCAGAGTAGTGAGAGGTCCGAAATTATGTCGACAGCGAACATAGAGCTCGCAAACGGACTGCATTTTCATCTATAATTACAAATTGGATCGGATCTTGTGATTCGATGAAACTTATTTTATACTTTGAACATTAATGAATATACTGCGAAAATTTCAAGTCTGTTGATCTTACTGTTTCTGTTAAAAAAATTCATAAAAATAGTCTTGAAAACGGCCTTCAGCATGTAATTCCCGCCTTAATTATCTCATTTTGTACAGAAATAATATTCCATGCGGATGCAAAATGGGGAATTGATTTGGGCTCGCTTAGAAGCGTCGTAGCGAATTTCCGAAGAAGAACCGATCCGAAAAAGCTGCTTTATCGCAGAATCTGACATTCCAATTGAGCAACTCCGGGGATGTCACGGCGTCTTCGCTCGGCGTCCCCGTCACGATTTTAATTACTTGCGCTTGCTCGATAATTTATATCGCTCTCGGTATTATCGAGACCTATCAATTGTCGCTTAAACGCCCGTATAGATAGCGCATATACGGCCGTGGGAAGCCGGCCGTCAATCGCGTTTTACTGTCGCGCGTCAAACGCGAAGAAGGATTTTTTGTCGACGCCGACCTTCTTCCCGGCTAACGAGACTGATAATCCCGGCGCACCGAAAGGGTTAACGAAGGACCGAAGGAACCCGCGCTCTCGCCTGGTCCTGTCGTAAAACAGCGGGGGCTGAGGGGGGACATGTCGCGCGACTGTTACAGTTCTCTTTCTCCTTCTCTTTCTGCCTCAGAGGGCCTCGCATGTTTCTCGAAATTACATAAGTAAGTTTCAAGCAGGGTCTCTCCCTCTTCCTCTCTCTCTCTCTCTCTCTCTCTCTCTCTCTCTCTCTCTCTCTCTCTCGGCCGGCTGTGTGCGTGTGTTACATTCGTAACGCACCCGCACGCACACTCCACTTTGCGCGCGCAAAAAAAAACCGTACGAATGTCGACGATGTCTGATAGGTGTCCACTTTTTTATATCACTGAGGTATCGCTCGGCCGATCTCTCGGTGACGTAAAACGACACGTAGGAGATGGCTGTCACAGGCCGCGTTTACGCTTAGATACATGCGGCAGATACAGATATACATGAGATAATGCGTCTCGTAAAAGCGCTCTCGCGTGTGCGAATCTGCGGACTCGCGAAATTTAAAGCGACAGCTCGATCGTGTTGTTAATGGAGGTGATACTCGCGCGTCTCGCTTCTTTCAGACCGGACTTTGGCGCGGTTGGCGATAGGAATTCACGAAGAATCGCGTAGCGATCAGGAACGCGCGGGAGGTATTCCTTTTTATCAACGTTCTCGCCGTCACGAGTATCCTCGGACACGAGGAAGCAGTTTAAAAAAGACTCCACGCGAATTCCGCGCGATGCGAGCGCGCGTTGCGCTGAGATGGACTAGAGAGGCATGTGCGATTTCCTTGATCCTTTTTCCTCGATCCTTTAATCATCCACCATTTGGAGCAGTGTAAACAGGAAATAAAACCGATCAACTTAATTATAGGTACGGAATGCCCGTAGATACGTCCGGCATAAATGAGACGCGGTATTTTATGCCTAGTCGTGTGTACATTATACACGCGCGAGTTGTAGATGACTTCAATTATCAGATCGTCCGTCAGATTTTCGACAGTTACAGCTTTTAATTACAACAAGCGGCGATAGTACTCCGATTCTGCCGCTCGGATTCCTCAAAGCGACCGGTGACGGCTCTCTCTCTCTCTCTCTCTCTCTCTGTTTATGCGCTCTTCTCTATAATTAGGCGCAATTTCACGGTTGACCGAGCTGGTAAAACCGCATCGCTCGGATTTTCTGGAAATCATGCTATCAATCTCAATCTCGTAACGTGCCGCGGGGAATTTATCGTTACACATCTGGCTATTTGATCGCCGGCCTGTAAAAGCTAGACCTCTCGATCGCGTGTCTGCTTCGTGAACATCACGCGACACTTTCGGTTTCATCGCGCGCGCGCGCGCACACACACACACACAGCGTTCCCTGATATTTTTTTTCTCAATATAATTCATTATCTCCGCGAGCGTTTACCGAGCGTCAACAAGCCTTTTGCTCTTTGACCAGTCACACATTTTATATGGATCACAGTGTAGCAACGGCTGTCAGTCGCGCGTCAGTCTCGTCCGGGAAAACTGGATTCGCGTCTCGAAGCCGTTTATTAATAGAAATTAATCGTAAAGATTTTCAACACGTGTGTAGGAAATAAATAAATAATCGTGTAGCTTAATTACACCGCCGAGATTTCTCCACCTATTGTCTATTATTTCATTTACTTCAAAGTGATTAATTTCACCGTAATTTAATTACCCGGTCATATTTCTCTCAGTGACGAAGTTCGAGTCGCGTCGATTAATTTTAATTTAGCTCGCGCGCATGGTCTATGATTAAAAACTTAATATCTTATGAAAGATATACGACGGAATGTGCACGGCGTCAATAATATAACGGCTTAATACCTTCACCTTCGTTCGGTATCCCGAGAACGGGCGTCCTTCTACGACATAGTTGCGTTGAGACATCACTTTGTAGCCGCCGTAATCGGACAGTTTAATGCACATCGTACGTGTTTTGCCGTAATCGATTAGCGGCTTTTGAGATCTCTCCGAAGACGGAATGCGCGACTTCCGCCATCGTGAGCTGTTTCATCCTAGTCACCCTAGAGCCAACTGGTCGGGCTTGTATCGCATATCATATTCATGAGGTCTCGGCCTGTAATTAAGTTAGAATTTTACAGTCGATTGAGCAATCACAAGTTTTTCTCCGGTTTTTGTTGACCTTCGGCAGAACGCGCCGGGATATCGATAATCAACATCGGCCACGATTTATGACCGGAAAGTCGGTATATGTGTATGTGTATGTGTGACTCGATCAATGGGGGTTCTTCGTGTACGCTCGTCATACACGTCTGATGTGCCACATTGGTCACGACGATGTAATCGATACTCGGATAAAGCCGCGCTCGTGTTGATTCGCTTCCGAGGCTTGCAAACTCTCTCTCTCTCTCTCTCTCTCTCTCTCTCTGTATATTTTTACATCATCGGCTTGAATGGACGGGAATTTGCGAAAAAGAGCCGCTGTATCACAAACACCTGAAATTATTTCCTGGTTCGTTGCAGTTCATTTCTTCAGGGAGGGAGGGTCAGTCTGTTGATCTTGCAGAAGGGTTTTCTCTTTTTGTATCGTGAACAAAGTCAAGCGTGTCCGACTCTCCGGCTTTTCTCCTCACTCGTTACGTCACACCGGCCGGTACGAACGTTACTACGTCGGGCCGCTTCCGTGCAAATGAAGAAAAAGGTGCTCGATGCTTACGAGAGCTTCGCAATTAAGTTAGAGTTTCGCGTCCGTCTCGTCAGCGTGCACGACCGTGGAAGCGGTCGAAGCTTTCGTGCGCTTATTAACATTAAATTACAACCACCAGAGGTGTGATTATAACACGGTTCTTCTTGGCATGGCTCGAAAGAACGAGCGCGCGGGGAACAGGTTGATTATAAGCAGTCATTGATCGGGAGGCACATTTTTCATCGACACCGCCGCTCTCTCTCTCTCTCTCTCTCTTTCTCTCTCTCTCTCTCTCTCTCTCCCTCCCTCCCTCTCTCTTGAGCTGCGCTCCTCCCTTATCCTTACGTACGCGCGCGTTCTGACCGGAATGGAATCAAGATGCGCTCGGGCAAGGATAACGAACAGGAAGCGTCTCGATACAAAGTAGAGAGAAAGAGGGGGGGGGGAGGGGAGAAAATGAGACGAACGCCGAGCTTATCGCGAGAGGAACGTCGCGAAAAATATTGGAGGTTCGGCCGTCCGAGAATCACGTTGATGATCGAAATAAATTCGCTCTTGCAAAAATCCTCCTGTACAAACTCACTCGGTAGATGTCAGATCATTCAGCTAGTTCTCGATCAGTAAAATACAGCTGATTGCTCTCAAATCTTCCCGATATCCGCATTAATTTGGCGCGATAACAAATTGGACAATTTTATCCGACATATTTTCCTCGTTCGCTTGTATGGCGGGAATTTTTCAATTCTGCGCGAGAACTCCGCCCTCGTCGGCGTGCTCGCGATAGCGATAACGTTGCAAGCGGTTTTTGTTGCAACTTACCGAGCCGTAGAGCAGGCCGCAAACGTCCATGCAAAGGTAAAGGCAGGTCGCCACGCCTTGAATCTTCAGTTGGCCTCTCGACACCGATGTCCTTTGAAAAATCGCTGAAAGAGACACAGAATCGGCGATTAGCGTCTATCGCAAGAAAGCTCGTCCTCGCAGCAAGAAATTCACCCAGCAAGTGAACGTTATCGTTTAATCGCCGCACCTTTCGTCCACCAAATGCGGAATCTGACGGCGGTAGGAGCTTCGAATAATTTTAATTCGTCAGCGACCTTGTGCGCCTCGCTTATCGCTCTCCTTTTTTCCTCCCCCTCATCCTCCCCGCCCCCTCACCCTAATGATTCAATCACGGACATGATGATACGTATTCTCAGTCGACTCGTAATTCATGGCACTTATCTCGAGCGTCAATGTCCATCGGGAGTACATCGCTCCGTGGGCCGGCTTTGATAAATGGAGCCGCGGCGCGAAATTGCAACGCGACGCTGCGCGGAGGCACGCAACATCGGCGGATAAGTATTCATACTATCGATAACTGCTCGCCGCTGCCGATCGAATCGGCCTGTGCTAAAGCCTGTTTTTAGCGTCCATTCGGCGCGCTGAACGGATACTCCCGTAATACGCCGGAAAAGTCACGACAGAGAAGAAAGATAAACGCGGCGGGCAAGGGCGCGATAGGGCTTGTCGGAAGAAACGATCGATTTTTCCTTTAATCATTCAGCCCGCTTTCCCGCCGCGCGCTCGCTCGCACACGATGTAATCTCCTGAATTCCTCAAAGTTACAGGACGCGCGTGACAGTCCGGCGTGGCGAAGCGTACTCGGCCGGGTAAATGAAACGAGTTATCGGTGATAGACGACGATTCTCCATCTGCACTCGGGGTCCTGTTCGCTAGAGGGGGGAGGTCAAATAATGGCACGTACAATGTGCGGGAGTCGAGAAGCCCGCAGCTCACACCGAAAAAAAAATATTTTATTTGTAAAGTGACTTTTCCCATAGTCTCATATTCTAAGCGAAGCCTTTTATAGAAAAAGGATTCCTCTTTCGATAAAGCGATTCAAGTGAACTATTTATCTGAAATGTAGATTAGATATTATCCTAACTGTTTCCCTCTTATTTCAAGAGGAGATTTCCTCTTATATCAATTAATTTTCCTCTTATACGAAGAGGAATATGTTGATTTGAATGTCGGCTTCTTTCCTTCAGTCATGTTCCAAGTACCTCCAAACATGAACGAGAAAATTACCGTATGCTGATGGTTCAGAATATTTGGAACGCTCTTTACGAAAACTATGTGTGTGGTATTTGGTGAAATACAGTTTACAATCTACTGCAAGAAGTTGAAAAATATAATCTTCCTTCTAACTATATTTTTTAACTATATATAATTGGTTATGACGAACATCTTTGTAGCTATGAAGTCCGTAAACAAAACTGATTGGAAATTCATTTGTTATGATGACCTTATTTCATTTGCACCTACTTTTCGCTATACATTATAATAATTTTTTCAAATTAACTAGTATACAACCAGTAAGAATAGATAATAATTCTGTTAAGAAAAGATTAAATAATCTGTGAAGAGGAAATTTATATTAAAATCAATAAGATCTGCATTATACATATAACATATAATTCCTCTGACTTTAAGAATAATATGTTTATAATATTTTCCCCTTAATCTCAAAGGAATCCTCTCGAGGTCATATACAGGGTGTCCGAAAAATCGCCTACTCCACTTCGGTAGGTGATTCGGCGGGACCCAAAAACAAGCAAAAAAGTTCATACAAACATCGGTCCGGAAATGAGCCGTTACCGAGTTATAGCCACTTTTGTGTTCAAAAATTGTAATTTAGAATCCGCTTGGCATCCCTCTTTCTTAATTATTTCTTAAAATAAAAATTTTTACTTTTTAATTTTATATATAATTTAATAATATATAAAGATAAAATCCTCTAAAATTTAGATAATTCCGTTTGTTTTGAAATTACTTTTTTTTTTGGGTGCATCATCGACCGCGACGTACATACACACGTGCTTACGCGCGCGTATGCAATCGTCTCGGTTCCGCAACAGTTTGCCGCTCGGAACGACGTGGCCAAGCATTAAAGAAGCGCGTGACAATGTTGCGACTCGCGCGGGTCGGTCGCGCGACCGTTAAATACAGGCTGCTCGCCGCACTGCTCGGTATCGCGATAGCTGATAAAGATAAGCCGTGGGCGCACGCGGAAAGCCGCGTGCAATTGGAGCGCGACGAGAACGGCAGCGCGTCAGGAGGACACGCTGTCGCGAGGAGATCGCGAGGGATTCGAGACGCGCTTCGAAACTTTGATCGAAGTGCCGATGCTGCGATGTCGTTACATCGTTGGATGCCGCTAATGAAGGACGCACGCTCTTAAGCGCACCTTAACGCGGGAGGGATTAATTAGCCCGCGTCCTGAACCTAGAACGAGCCGTCATTTTCGTTCAGTTATCCGCGGCTCGGGGGACACGCGAGACCAATGTTGCCGGATCGAAATTATGTTTTTTCACCAATCTTTATGCAAAAATTCTCCAAATTTCCCCACTTTTGTGGGGTAACAATTTCCACCAAACTGACAACATTTTTCATGTGCAACTATGCTAAAACTCAATTTTCTCATTTATCTTTAATAATAACGCATGCGCAAACCTGAAATTATGAGTATATATTACACAAATTTGTCGATTTTTAATGAGAAACAAAGATAGAACGGTCGCGTTCAGCAGAGAAAGCAGTGAGCGCTCAATGATTATTGGTGATTATTTTTTTAGAACTCTGACAGATTCAAGAGAATGTACCAATCAGGGATAAAGTCACTAGGTGCTCACTGAACAGTTTTCTTGTGAATATATGTGTGAATGTTGAAACGTAGCCAATGAGTGCATTCTAGCAATACTACAACGCCACTGAGCTTTTACATCCGACTGGCATGTTTCTTTAGATCTAAAAATATACGCCAATCAAATGCAAGAGCTTAGTTAGTTACTCAGCGGGAGCGGTTGTAATACTGAATGCACCCATCAATCAAAGGACTCGTGGAAATTATGTACCAATCAGCCAATCAGAAAATGTTGGCCACTCTCTTTGTAGACTGGATCTACAATAGATATAGTGAGCCTCGAGTTAAGTAAAAAGATTGATCAGTCACAGTCAATTATTTTCCTCACATTCGACTGTGGGGATTTTTCTCAGTACCGGCTGTCAAAATCCACCAGATTTATGCTTTTCCCAGAAAAACGTCACCAATTTCCAAAATGTGCTGAAAGCATCACCAACCTTGGTGAAATCTCACCAAGGTTGGCAAGTATGCGCGAGACACTAGACTCGGGCCGTGAAAAGTCCGATATCCCGATCGCGTTATCGACTCGGCAAAAAGCGAGACGCGGCTTCGCTCGAAGCGACCCAACGGTTCTCTCCGCCGGAGAGAGAGAGAGAGAGAGAGAGAGAGAGAGAGAGAGAGAGAGAGAGAGAGAGAGAGAGAGAGAGAGAGAGAGAGAGAGAGAGAGAGAGAGAGAGAGAGAGAGAGACTCTCGGGTGTCCCTCGGCGTATTCGCGGCCTGCGTGTCGCTGTCATCGCGATTAAGCAGGCCGCTGCATCGCAGAGACGCATCGGCGAGCTCGCTGGCGCGAGTGCACACTGGCCGACCGGGGCGTCGTTTAGCGGCCGGTTGTTCGCGCACGAAGGCGCAACGCACCCCGTGCGTTGCGTGCCTTGCGATTTTTGCCGGCCTCCCGGCGACACCCGTAGAACGACGCCGCGGCGGCTTGTCCAAACAGAAGTAGCCTGCGATGCGCGCGTGTACCGGCGCGCGGAGGAGGAGCGCGAGGAAGTCGAGGCACGACGGCGAGGAGGAAGCTGCGAGCGCCGTTGATCGCTGCAGCGCGACATGTACTAATCAGGAATAGAAGGTACAACCTGCTTCGCGACACGCTCTGCGCGATGCGAGGCAGTTCGCCACCTCGGAAAATCGATGATGATGGGGGCTCGCGCGGCACTGTTATTATGAGCATGCGATCGGCATTCGCGGCGCTCGAGACACTCGAGGCGCGCCGTATACGGGGGACACCCGATTCCTCGCAAAAATGAAAAAGACGCGAGCGAGCGCGATCGTCTAGCCGTTGGCTTGTAAAGACAGGCGAGCCGCGACGTCGATGTTAATGAGCGTCTTAAATAAAGACGCCTCGATGCGGCTCGGTAGAGCGGCCGGCGTCACAAAGTACGTATTAACGCGCGCCGCGACGCCGCTGTGGCATTTACCGATTAACGTCGCTCGATGACTGAGCGATTAATGAGCACTAATCAGCGCGGACGGCGAAACGCGCGTTTTGTGTGTGTGTGTGTGCGTTATCTCTTAGCGACGTTTTCGGCAGTTTGACGCGGCAATTAACAGCACCGACGCGCGCTCGAGGCGCGAGCGGGATCGCGTGCCGCGCCGCAACATATTACGATTTCACTTTAGCACGTCGGAGATCGTTGAAGGAATTTGTGGCGATAGCCACATGCGCGAAGGGCGATAGTCCGGTATCGCGTGAAAAATCAATGAAAAGGAGCACGGAGCAAGGTAACGATTAAAAACAAGATGGCGCGCGAGAGCTACATATAAATACGGTAACTCGTGTGTTTTTCCGCCGAGCGAGCAACACGAAGGAGGAATCGACATGTTGATCCTGCGACCGTTGCGTGTACCGCGTATAATTACGATCGATAAATAATTGTACTTAATTTCACACGTCGATAGCGATATCGCTTTAATTGCCGTCGCGGTTGAAAAAAATTTCGACACCGCCATTTCCCCCACTCACAGCGCGCGCTCGTTACATTTGATATAATGGTGAGTTGAATTTCGGTCAGCAGTGTTTTTGCACAAGAGAAAAGAAAGATGGCTCTCCATCTCGACGAGGCTCTCGTAACATTGAAAAAGAAATGAAACGCCAACGGGGATTCATCCGTAACTTTTGTTGGCGGAATCTAAGGCTCTCGCTGCAATACCAGTTTGCGAGCTAAAATTTCGTCATTGTGCTAAAATCGTTTTGAGCAGTGGCAGTATCCTCGAATCTCGGGAATAGTCATTACGTTTCA